CACTCCTTGCCAACATCCAGTGCTAGATGAGCAAGAATCTCCAGCTAAACGTAGATATGTCTTAATTGAAACCATAGTCTTTTATTGCTTTAATTAAGGACCAAAGGAAAAAATACCTCACAAAAAGCTATCCCCACCCTGCCTCAGAACATTTCCTCATCTATGTTTTGTTACCGTGACTCTTTTAAACAAAATTCCCTCTGCATCATCCCCATCAAACACTCCCAGGGCAGATACAGCCCAGGGTTAGATACTGTACAGAGTAAAGACCCCTCTACTCTTTTGAACAGGAAAACCACCTCCTGCAATCTTTCAAACTAAAAGTAACTGGAAAGTAAAGCTCCTTATACTCTTTAAAAATGAAAGTAAAGTAGTCTCTACACTTTTAAGCAAAGAGTAGAGTTCCCATGGTATTGTCCCCACCAAAACTCCCAGGACAGGAACACTTACCTCTTGACTGGACTATCCAATGTACTCTAAGATGGTGTTTCATCTTCCAGTTTCCATAGACTTGTGCTGACCCAGTCTGTGCTGTCCATATCTTAACTTGCATCAACACTTATCACTAATTACCGAGATAGTGGGAACTGCTGATGCTGTAATAACAAGGTGTAGAGCTGGATGAACACAGCAGGCCCAGCAGCATCAGAGGAGCAGGAAAGCTGACGTTTCGGGCCAGCTGAGCTATGTTGGCTCTCAGTTCAACAATGCCTCAAATATAATATTCTCATACTTGTTTGGAACAACCTCCATAGCCTTACTCCTAAAACTGAACACTCTGCATTCCTCCAATTCTGGCCAATTTTGATCACTGCACCATTGGCAAATTGTGCTTTCATGTGCCTCGATTGTAAGCTTACAGACATTTACGGCACAAAAGGAAGCCATTCAGCCCATCATGTCCTTGTCCGTCAACAAAGATCTAATTAAACAAATCCCATTTTCTATTTCTTGGTCCATAGCCCTGAGGGCAACACAAGGGAATATTCAAACACTTCTTAAACGTTGAGAGTTTCTGACTCAACCACTCCTTCAGGCTGTGAATTCCAGACTATCACCAACCTCAGAGAGAAAAAGATATTCTCCTCAAATCTCAGCTTAGCTTTCGACCTCTTATCCCCCCACAGTTATTGACCCCTCTACCAGCAGATAAAGCAACTTCCTATCCACTAACTTTGCAATACAAATTGCTAATCCGAAATGGCTGTGACAAGGCTATCTGAAAGTTACGGCTCAAATTGACCAATTTCTTGACACTGGATAATTGCTGGTGAATCCCCATTTGTGAACAGTGGTGCAATTTATAATGACTTGCAACACTGTTTTCCTTGTCACAAATTGCCAGGCTTTCCACATGCTCTCAAAATAGTCAGTATTGTGATCTTGCTATTGTTTTTCTGGCAACTGTAAACTCTGAACAGGACAGCCACAGTAAATTTATTTTAATGACCAATTTCTTGAAGAGTCAAATAAATAATTGTATACCATAAACACGTTCAGCAGGAAGAGCCAGTCAAATACCAAAACTGTCAGCAACCTTCAATAAAGAAGTAGATGGCGGATTCATGACTAGGGTCAGAGTGGATGGAAGCAGGGGACTCACTACAAATCGATAGCAAACTGTTTACAGCGAATTAAAAACATACTGCGGGGGGTGGGGAAGAAATACTAAGAGAATTAATAGGGCCAGGTGAAATAAGATAGCAGAGGACGTTTCTGGTCAGCAAAAACACCAGCAGTATTTCATTGGAATAAAATAACATACTTTATATTATAAATGCTATGCAAACTCACAGCATGCAACTACCCATTTAAATTAATAAGTAGAGCAAGTCCATCCTGAAACCATAGTAAATTTTGATTCCTTGCTGTTGTTATGGGAACAGTTAATTAAGGATCGAAATTTCCTGACAAAACCTGGGCATGCCCACTGAATGGTGAAGAAGGGTCTAGGCCCGAAACGTCAGCCTTCCTGCTCGGCCTGCTGTGTTCATCCAGCTCTACACCTTGTTATCTCAGATTCTCCAGCATCTGCAGTTCCTACTATCTCTGACAGTTTCTTGTGATTGCAAGCATCACTTAGAAGGCAAAAGAGATTGTTAAGGTATGGCGTCATTGGCCTGACCTCAATGACCTGTGGCAGCAGTTCAGTATTCTCAGAATTGTTTTTCTAAAACAATTTATTTTTGATTGAGATTTATATGGCTGTGAGAAGTGGAGGGGCTGGGACAATATGCAGTGGGCACTATTGAAGAGGGACTGTTTTTAAGTTAGTCAAGGGTTAAATGCTGTTTATTTGACTAGATGGTTCATACTTCATGTATAAAACATCAAAAATAGCTTTTCTTCTGGTTATGTGATAATGCAGAGTAAAAATATAGGATACATCCCTTTCTATAATCTCTGAGCTTTGGCTCACTGGTCATAGTTGCTTCAGTGACTCAAACGCAACTTAGATCAATACTTCAGTTGCATTACCAGAAGTGGTGCCTTTCAGATGACATATTGAATAAAAACACCATCCATGATGATCCTATAAATAATATATCCCAAGCGCAAGGGATCTCTCAGCATTTAATTCTCAAACAACATTTAACCCTCAAAATCAACATTACAGAATCAGCTAGTCATTTACCATATCCGCATTTGAAGTCAGACTTGAAACATTTTGATTCTCTATTATCTCAGTCCCAGGACATCACTGCACGAGTTCCTCAGGGTAGTACCTTATGCCCAAACATCTTCAGCTGTGTCAATGAACTTTCCTCCATAAATGATGATTACAGACAATGTTCAGCACCATTCTTAACTTCAGATAGTGAAGTCGTCTGTATCTGTATACAGTAAGGCCTGACAACAGAGGCTTCAGCTGCTAAGTGGCAAGTAACATTCATGCCACACAAATGACAGGCAGTGACCATCTCCAACAACAGGATAAAACCACTATCCCTCAACATTCACTGAATCCCTCCCCCCTCCACAACTCAACATCCCGTGAATTGACTAGAAACTGAACTGGGAGCCACAGTATTTATATGGCTGATCAAGAGCAGTTCAGGTATTAGGAATGCTACAGCAAGTAACTCACCTGACTTTATTTACCACGTCCACTATCTACAAAAGCACGAGCCAGGAATGTAATGGAATACTTCCTGCATGTCTAAAAGAGTGAAGCTCCAACAACACTCAAGTTCAACACCATTTAGAACAAAGCCACTTGACTGGCAACCGTCTAACACTTTCAATATTTACTCCCACCACAACCACCAGTGGCAGCAAATATGTACCATCACATCATACACTGCAGTAATTCAGCAAAGTTCCTTTGACAGCACTTTCCAAACTTCCATCTGGACAGTAAAGATTGCAAAAGACAAAAGACAAAAGACCAGCACCTTCAAGTTCCCCTCCAAGCCATGCATACAATCCTGACTTGGAATTAGAATTGCCATTCCTTCACTGTTGTTCATCAAAATCCTGGAACATTGTGGATGTGCCCACATCATCACAGACCGCAGCAATTCAATTTGGCAGCTTATTATCACCCTTGAGGGCAATCAAGAATGGGCAATAAAAATACTAGCCTAGCCAGCACTCCAAGTCTGTGAACTAGTAAAGAAAAAAAGACTGCCAACTCTTTATATTTACAGTATTTTGTTTTAGCAAAAGTAACATTGGGTCTCATCATCCTGAGGTTGTGAAAAATACATGCATATAGAAAGACATAGTAAGAACTGCTGATACTGGAGTCTGAGACAACACAGTGTGGAGCCGGAGGAACACAGCAGGCCAGGCAGCAGAGGAATAGGAAAGCTGACATTTCAGGTCAGGACCCTTAAGAAATCGGGGATGGGGAACAGAGATCCGAAATAAACAGAGGAGGGGTGGGGCTGGGGAAAGTAGGTGTAATGGTGATAGGTGAGTGCAGGTAGGTAGTGGTGGGGATTGGTCAGTGAGGTGGGAGCGAAAATGGACAGGTCAAGGAGGCAGGGTTGGTCATGAGGCCGGGGGGTGGGGAGATTTTGAAACTATATACAAATAGTAAGTTCTAAGTCAGCTACTTGCTAGAAATGCAAACAAAATGCTGAGCTTGTGTGATAGCCCTTTAAAGTAAAAAAGGTGCCTCAAAATACGTGAACTGCCGATGTGAAGTTCAATAAAGAAAAAAAGTCATGGTACAAACCCCTCTCTCGTTTATTCACATATCTCTCCATTTGGCTGGCTCAAAGTGGCATTGCAAAGACACGATATCCACTCTCATTGACTCAGCAAGTTATACCAATGGGAAAACAAACGATGCATACATACTTGATACTGAGATATCTAAATATTTGACCAAAGGACTAGCAGCAAATACTGAAGTAGCAAGACTACAGACTACCAACTTTCACCAATCTCTGCCAAATCATCACTATTGCTTGAAACTCACACTTTGAATGATCAAGTTCAAATACAAAAAATACCAATGGGAACTTTATTTATTGGAAGCTATGGCCTTTACCCCTGACATTTAGGCACAAGTTTTTTGGGGAACTAGCATGATGGGTTTGATGACACCTCAGTGATTAAATGATTCGGGCTGTCCAGGGATAGCACATGTTCAAAAGAAATCAGCAAATTACGTGGCTCTTACAAAATTGCTGGCAACTCCAGACAGCTGAGAAACCAATCTCCTACCACAGACGGGATTCAGAGAGGTGAATGGGGACATTATATTTCACACGTACAGGAAGAATACCGAATAATCCTGGGTCTCAAAAATAAGGCTGTGAATTCTTATATTAAAATTTCTGATGCCTCAAGTCATATTAATCAAATATAACTGGGTAATTTTAGTCATGGCATTTCTGCAGTCACCATCTAAAAATTAACAGATATCACAATCGACATAACAATTCCGATCATTTCTATTCTAAAATGTTTTTCTGCACATACTAATTACACATTCATTTGTAGTAGTGTGTACACTTATTGAACAAGTGATCAAAGGCAGCAGAGTATAAATGATTTAAAAATAAAGTTTTATTCAGTGTGAAAAACTAATGTTCAAATTATTGAAAACTTCGAGAATCATACAAAACAAAAACAAATCAAAAAATACATAACACTGATGAGCCAAGATGCTTTCCCAGTTTAAACTGTGAAAGTTAAAAAAAAAGTGGTAGCTGAATGAACAACCTTGGTAAGGTAGCCACAAGTCAGACTTGGCTGCTGGAAATTTTATGCAATCTCCTCACTATATTATAAGTCATTATCTACATTTACAAATAGATTATTTCACATAGCTTTGAGATACTTCCTCCATTTTAGTGATATCAAATTACTGCCAATAGAAAGCAAAAGATTTCCATCCACTAAAGAGTGAAACATTGAATCAATATTTGAGCTTTTTAAACAAGATTACACAACTTCCCCGTGAACCCACAATATCAAAAATAAGCTACTGGAAGTGGAAATTGCTACCTCTGTCAGCATTTCAGTCTCTTCTGTTTGCTTTCCTTGACTTTGGCAAGGTTCCCTGCTTATACCATGTACACAGTCCTGTCACACTAATTTACATGATTCCTTCTAAGTGAACTTGCATAACCTGTTTTATATTTCTCTTCTTATGCACATGTAAATGTTCAATGAATTGGCATCTGAGTACAAATTGAAATTTACAGAAATCTCATCATACAAACCAGAGGTAGAGCCAGGACTTTCAATACAAACAGTACTTAGCAAACTTATGTATCTATCATTCTGGCTTGTCATTTCAAATCCAGGGGTTGCTGGACATTTCTTTGAAGAACTTGACCACTTCTTCCAAATTTTCTTTGATTTAAATCCAATGACAATACATCAGCAAATCCCTGATTCAGTTACTTTCTGCTGCATTTTTAAGATCAGTTCCAACAAATTCATCTGTAAGGTCAGTTCCTGTAAGATATAGAGAGAAACAAAACCATTTAGAACTTTGACCACTAAAAGCTTTATGGCCTTGCTGGGTATTTGGCAATGTCCTGTCTATGATACAGTGCCACAATTGGCAGACACCTGCAATGCTAATTTGTTTTGATCTCAGGGTGAGCCGAGTTTGTGGATAAAAACAGCCAACACAATGCATTCAAAAAAACATTGCAGAAATGTAAATTTGCACTGGATATTACTTGCACTTGAAATTCCTCAGGCTTGTGCTGGTCTGGCTAATTTCTGGTGAATTGTTCCAAAATTAATGATAGAGACTCGCTAGAGTATGTAATTTGGGTGTTGAGGGGGAAAATGTTTGTGCGGTTAGGAAGCAAAATTATCCAAACAGCACTGGTAAGCTACATCAAATCCTACACACTCAAAAGCGTACAGGTTCCCTTGTATCTACTACCCTTGTTCTATCGGGTTGTAAAGGTCGTGGGTTTGGATCTGATCAAGGGGAAGCAGCCCAGCTAAGCCCTTCCGAGTCGCCTTGTCCTTCCAAATGTTTCTCAACAGTAATAAGAAAGTGTAATCTAGGGCATATATTTTTCTCCCTTTCTAACAGAGGCAATGGGACCAACTGTAACATTGAAAATATCAATCAGTTCAGCAAGGTGGTTATTAAACCTAGGACCTTTCAGCCCAACCATTTGCTGCATAGGATAAACTCACAGCCAATGGAAAAGCAGAGTTACAGTGATGGTGCTGCTTTAAACATTCACAAAGAACATGAATATATTATATACTTACACTAGCACATTTTATTGTACTATTGCTGATAGCCAGCCTATGGATAAGCAGTTTTAGAACTTAGATCCATCAAGCTCTGTTAAGAAACATCTCAGCAAGAGTGCTCTTTGTGCTGTTTGAGAGCTGTTCTCTTACCTTCTGTTACCCAAACACACAAGCAAACAATTCATTGCTGACAGACATTTGGACAGAACAAAATCAGGCTTGGAAATCTAATAGTGAATGTATTTTGTTTTAAATCCATTAGCATAAAGTATAATTGATAAGCAAAGGAAAGTGACCCAAAAAATAAAGATTATACCAGACATCTTTGAGGAGGGTCACCTGAGGGTTTGTAGTAATGTAGAATCCTGGAACACCAGCCTTCTCCAGGGTGTTCTGCTGGTCAATCACTTTTTGATCCAGCTCCAAGACTATCTTCTCATCCATCATCCTTTGCTCATCCTTTACTCTCTGCTCCAATGTCTAGGGGGGAGAAAAAAAGTGTGATAGCGCTCAAACCTGTTTAAGTTGAAGATAGGAGAAAAGAACAAAAATATCACTGGCTCTGTCCTAAATTTTACAGCAATAGCAAAGGAATGTAATTGTTAAAAAAAAATACAATGAAGTCTTGCAAACCTAAGTTTCTGTTCGTTTAAGCTTAGTAAGTTCTGAAAGGGGAAGTAAAAGTTATGTTTGTCTATTTCCCTGATGTCTTACAACAATCAGACTACCCATCAGTACTGGTACAAGTCTGAAGTAATTTTCAGACTGAAGACAGCTCTGATCATGACAACTTGAGATCAATAAAAGTGACCAAATTTTAACAACTGAAACATATCCGTATAGTTCAAGACTTAGGAATTAGCATTTAAATTGAATTGAAAAGATCAAAAATAGAGAATCATTTTCAATGTCATGGTACATTTTGGGAAGCACCTTGGTTATGTCACACATACACAACTGAACAAAATGCACTGACCCTCAAATTAAAGAAGAAAAATCTCTGGATATTAGCTCATCTTGTACAAAAAGATTAGGCAAACCCAAAAAGCTTGGAGAAAGGATTAAAGCCATTGTGAAAGCAGGTTAACTCAAATCTTTTACCTCAAGTTCCCTCTGCTGTGCTGCACGGAGCACTGCCATGTTGTGGGTCTTGCAGTTCTGTAATGCCTCCTTGTGTTTTTTTAGCAACTCCTGTTTAAGAGCTTTAAGGAAAAAACAAAGTAACTTTCTTGCAAGAAATTTTCATCAAGAAATACAATGTTATACCAGAACCACAATTTTTCCTAAGGGGACTGTACCGGTTTCCAGGACAACTTGCAAGCTGTGGACTTTTCCTTACAAAGGCAATGTACCAGCTGTTTTGATATCAGGTTCTCTGCTAATGGTTCTGTGAAGTCTATCGTAATCAGAATATTTTATTATGTTAGATGCACTATAAAACTATAGCAATAAATAAATTTGTAATAATACCAGAGATTTATCTGTTAGACATTGTTATTATCTCCCTATTATAGGTTTTCTAAGTGAGTTGGCCTGATCTTTGCTGCTAATCCGTTCATGTTAGCCATCAATAAGGACTGATGTCCTCTTGCATGTGATGGCATTGTGCAATGTCACTGGATCAGTAACAAAGAGGTCCAGGCTAATGCTTTGTGGACATATGTTCAAATCCCATCATTTGAATTTAAATTCAGTTAAGGATCCTACAACAATTCTGGTAATGTCATTGAACTAGTAAGCCAAAATACCCAGCTAGTGCCCTGGGTTCAAATCCCACCAGGGCAGATGGAGAAATCTGAATCTAATAAAAGGATCTGGAATTAAAGCTAGCTTCATGGTGACCATGTAATGACCATCAATTGTTGTAAAAACACTAGTGTCTTTTAGGAAAGAAATCTGCCATCTGTGTGGGGTCTGGCCTGCAGGTGATTCCAGACCCATAGTAACACGGTCGGCTCTTCACTACCAGTTAATTTAAGGGCAATTAGGGATGCTTAAATACTGGCCTAGTCAATGATGTCCATACCCAGAATGTGATTCAGACAAACCCTTGATAACTATGAATTATTTCATATGAAAGTATTAAGACAAAACAAAGAACTGCAGATGCTTAAAATTAAATTGTTCAAGAAACTCAGCAGGTCTGGCAGCGTCTGTGGAGAGAGAAACAGAGTTAATCTTTCGAATGCAGGGACCCTTCTTCAGAACCAGGTCTGCCAAACCTGCTGAGTTTCTCTAGCAATTTCAGGTTAACGAAATAAACAAAAATAATCATTCTCGGTCACAAAAATTTATCTGGTTCACTAATGTCCTTAAGGGAAAGGAATCTGTTTTTACTTCATCTGGCCTACCTGTAAAATCCTCAAACGTCCTGTGAAATGGCCTAGCATGCTACTTATTTCAGGAGCAACAAAAAACAAAACATTTTTAGTCCCACTATAAAAAATATTTAAAAACAGAAGTAGTAATGCTAACCATTCTATGGAGTTTGTGTGATGCAGTGGGTATTGTCTCCGCCTTTGAAAGGGAGCATTGGGGCTCAAATTTCACTCCAGGATTTGATGGTAAAGGAAGGTAGATTATAATACCACCAAACAAGATAATGTTACCATCACTGTCTGTATCTCAAGGCTACAATGAGTGGTAAAATGCTTCACAGCAACTAAAACACCTCAAGAAGCTGGTTGGCCAAATTGGGTATACTGCCAACATGGGTCAGGTCAGTGCCAACTACATAGTGTGCAATTCTATTTCCGGCTGTGAAGCATTTGGACCTACCTCTTCACCCTACACATTGTCGTGGTCCTGTAGGTCAGCCCAACTTTCAGGCAGCTTAAAATAAATTTGGTTCCTGTACCACAGCCTAGAAAAGGCAAACAGTAAAACTTCCTCATCAAATGACATATACCGGTGAACTCATTTTATATTCTTCAAAATGCAGGACCAGTATATTCAGTTCCAAGTACTTTTTTTTGAAAAGCAGTTTTCTTTCCCACTGGATAGTGATTTCTGCCAATAATATTTACTGTGTTTACGGAGAACCACATTTTAGAACAAGTTTAAACCCCTCCTCCCCCTTTTCATCTGTTGAATTTCAATTTTCGATCTGGAACATCCCCAGGCATGCTACCTCTGTGTTCACTGTGCAGTTTCAGACGCTGGTTGTAGAGATTTTTCTCAGTCAGATGCTGAATCTCAAGCAAACCCTGTACAATCTCAAAGACAGTGCCGTCAATCAAAGCCAAGGCCAGGTTACTTAGTATATCATAGGATAATCGCTGCTGGCATGAGCTAAAAATAGAAAAAGAAAATAGCCTGCATTAGAAAAAGGTAAACATTTAAACACAGTCAAGATGCATGGAAAAAACAAACAATGACACTTCAGATGAACCTTTCATCCTAGCTTTCAAAAAGTACAGATAAAAAGAGACTTAAATACGTCAAAAGCATGAATCAACCAGGCAGTTAACAGAATGATCTTTAAAACACTTCATGGAAACAGATTAAACGGACAAATTGGTAGTAACATGACACAGTAGGAGACAAATAATACATTTAAGAAAAATCAGCGTGAACTTTCTTCTCATTACCATTGTTCTATCCTTTTTAAATACCACACACTTGTAATTCTTATCTAGTACTCAGAATCATAGAATCCCTACAGTGTTGAAGCAGGCCATTTAGCCCATCGAGTCCATACTGACCCTCCAAAAAGCATCCCACGCATACCGCCCCCAACCCCCCCACCTTATTCTTGTAACCCTGCATCTCCCATGACTAACCACCTAGTCTGCACATCCCTGGACACTATGGCTGCGCTAAATTGTCCAATCCACCTAACCTGCACATCTTTGGACTGCAGGAGGAAACCCACGCAGAAACACCGAGAATGTGTGAAGCTTGCACAGTCAGTTGCCCAAGGGTCCCTGGCGCTATGTGGCTGCAGCACTAACCACTAGCCCGTATTGACAGTAGTTGTTGCCCTGGAACATTAACTTTTTCTCCCATTAACTATAAAGGAGGAGATGCTAGGTGCCACTATCATCAAAATGGAAAATCTAAAACAAACACCCATTTGTTTTTCATGGAGGGCCACAACGAAACAAATTCAAATAACAAAATTCATATCGGTTTTCCCAAAAAACATTTTTAGACTGTGGCGCCACTGTTCAAGGAAGACCTCAAGCATGATAACAGTCCGCATTTGTTCCTAAAGGATTATCTGGGCATAGACAATGCTGTAGAATATGGTAGGCAACCAGAGCAACTACAACAACAGGTTACACCGAAGCTATGGGCAGCCACTTTGGTCGGGCCCAGGTGCAGATTCAACAGGAGTTTCTAGACTTGCTTAAGGTCCTATACTGAAAATTCTGAGGTTGGACTGCAGCCATTTGAAACAGACATCCCTCATTGATGAAACATGATTGCAGAGCTTCAAGTTCCACGTTGATATGGACCATGGACTGATGCAAACTACAGCAGTTATAGGCTGCCTGGAGTCAGTGAAGTTACTTCACATTTATTTAACCAAATTGCTCCATGCAACACTTTGACTAAGCATGCAGTGGACAACCCCAGCGATTGATTATTAGCCGCATCTCATTATTGAAATCAACATCCGAGAGTGGAGAATATTCAAGAATACCAAATGAGGTTTGATTGTTAGATATTTCCAACTAGGAAAGCTACTAATTCCCAAGTGAGGCTATGGAAGCAAAAATGTGAAGTAGAAATTTCCTGGTTGTAGAAATGCAGTAAAAAGTGGAAAGATTTGATTAGTGAACAGTTTTTTTTTGCAAATTGCAAAAGGGATTTTTTTTTTGTTAAATTGATTCAGGATTAAGTTTTGCTGGTTGGGACAGCATTTATTGCCTATTCCTGTTGATCATCATATGTGCTTTCAAATTAATGACCAATTAAATGTTACCTTTAAACTGAACTGCATGATGGGACAATAGATTATATTTATCAACAACTAAGTGTATGAGACAAGATTCAAAAATACACAGAGCTGGAGACTGTCAAATAGAAGTTTGGACATTTGAAAATCAGAACCTTTAAGCCCTTTCACATCCACATGATATCTCAATGTTTTTTAAGAAAATACTAAATTCATGGGATATGGTCTTTGCTGGCTGGGCGAATATTTAATGCCCATCCCTAGTTGCCCTTGAAGGCGGTAGCAAGCTATATTCTTGAATCACTGCAGACTATTTAGTGTTGTAGGTGTACCCACAATGCTTTACTGCCAATGAAGGACACTTGATATGGCAGCTAATTTGTGCAGACCAAAATCCCAGAAACCACAATGTAATAACAGCCAGATATTGTGACTTGATTGGAGGATAAAATATTGGCTTGCGCACTAGGGATAATTCCCCTGTTGTTCTTCAAAATAGTGCCAAAGTGATATTTTGTGTCTACCTCACAGGGCAGATAGGACATTGAAGGGCAGAGAAGGGTGCCAACTTGAAACGTCAGCTTTCCTGCTCCTCTGATGCTGCCTGGCCTGCTGTGTTCCTCCAGCTCCACACAGTGTTACCATCATTACCTGGTCTGGTCTACGTGACTCCAGACTCACAGCAATGTGGTTGACTCTGAACTGCCCTCTGGCAATTAGGGATGAGTAATAAATGCTGCCCATTCAGCGATGCCCTCATCCCATTAATGAATTTTAAAAAATACAACTTTTATTAGTCAGATTTTCAGAATATTGGTAGAATAGCCTAAAAATAAGATTCAGCATTCAAGTCCCACCTGCTCCAGAGCTGGGTCATAACATCTCTGAACAGGTTGATCAAAAATATCTAGAATGTTCGAATTCACTGTTTTGCTACCTTGATAGGTCTTTGACCAGACTCTGCAGCTGAGACAGAAGGTGATAATGCTGTTCCTGCTGCTTAGCGATATCTGCTGGCTCTTCATATATCTCTACGGTTTTATTCATCTTCAAAAAAGATGTTTTATGAGGAAGTCATCCCAGTATCAAGGGACCAGCTTCTTTCAAATAGGAATGCCCACTCCTAAAACAGATTTAGAAATGATTTCTAATGTTGCCAAAAGCATCAGGCCAAAGACTTCATCTCTAATTTTCACAAAAGTAGGTTCTTCTATTTTTCATTTAACATTTGACAATTACATATTCACACTGTACAGTCACCACATGTGGAAGTGAAATTCTTTACTAATCCTTCTGTTGCCTAAGAACTGTAACGCAACAACCAAACGATAAGATACTTTTAGTTCAAAACACCCGGTTTTCTACCCACACCATCTCCTACCTTAACCAATTACTAATTCAACCAGCACATCACCATTTAAGATACATGCCACCCATACAACAGAAATATTAGTTGTTCCCCACGGTACCCACTTCTGAAAATGCAACTGACACTCAGGTTGAAAGACAGGACAACTGTGCTTAATATCAAGGCAGCATTCAATCAGAAACAATACTAATAAGTTCTAGCAAAATTGAAGGAGACAGAGACCAAAGAAAGAAAATCTACCCAAGGCTGCAGTTACATCTGACACTAAGGTAAATAATTCTTGTCAAGAAGTCTGAGTACTAGTGAGGGATTTACTCTTAACCATTATTTCAGTGACTTCAGTACAGTTGGGTTGATTGCAGTGTGAGAATGCAAAGCATTTCAAAATTTGTCAGGTAAGACTTTAATTCCTAAGGACCTGATGTAATTTTATGTAAAAACTGCATCCTGTGTGCGCGCTGGCCATTAGATCAAAATCGAAATAAGGTACACAAACTGCAACTCTCCTACCATGGAAACAGATTATCTATAAGACATAAGTAAAGGTAAGCCACTCAGTCCATTGAGTCTGCTGTGCCTTTCAATGAGATCGCGACTAATAAGACCATAAGACATTGGCCTAATTTCTGCTCCTTTCAGGCCATTCAGCCCATCGGGTCTGCTCCACCATTCAATCATGGCTGATATGTTCCTCAACCCCATTCTCCCGCTTTCTCCCTGTAAACCTTAATCCTTTTGATAATCAAGAACCTAACTATCGCAGTCTTAATCTGATAATCAACTCCACTTTCCCCATAACCTTTGATTCCCTTATAAAAACGAAAGTCTGAGCCTTGAATAGACTTCATAAGCCAACCTCAAAAGCCTTCAGCAGTAAAGAATGTTACAACCCTCAACAAATTACTCCTCAGTTCTCTCCTAACCGGCCAACTCCTTACTCCTCTGGTCCTAAACTCTCCCACATGGAAAAACAACCACATCCACCCTTTCAAGTTGTCTAAGAATTTTGCATGTTTCAATACGGTCACCTCCCATTCTACTAAGTACCAACGGATACAGGCCCAACCTACTCAGTCTTGTTGAGACACTTTACAGTGCACAAAACCAGCTGTCCTCATTCTTACATCATGACAGCGAACACTCGGAGATAGATTTTGGAATATGTCCAGATGCGACAACCTTGTGAAAGGCACTACATAAGATACAAGTTCTTCCACTTGGTAAATCATTACTTAGAACTGGCACATCATAGACACACACACACACATCAGTCATGTCAAGACAAGCTGTATCACAAATGGTTTCTACACTATAGTCTGGAAATCTTAATATACAAACTGGAACTGTACCCAAACCTGGATTTACCCAATGTAGTGGACAATAATTATTGTGGTTAAGGTTGCTAACTGTTTTGCATACAGTGGGGATGTAACTCACAAAACAATTATTTTCTCCATATCTCAAGACATATGACAGTAACAAAATCATACCTGGACCTTCAACCAACCCAAACTAATTAAACAGCCTTATTTCCTACTCCATCACTAACATTTTAAATTTTACGTTAAAAAAAATCTTAAAAAGAGCATTTTAAACAGCCCACGGTTTTCCCCCCTCTATTAACTGGGTTTTATAACAACAGGTAGAAGGTTAATCTTTAAAGCTGGGAGATGACAGGGAGGGTTGGCAACACCGACTCCAGGTGAAATTGGTGCGAATTAGTGATTTTGCTCAACACAATTTACACGTGATGCAAACTAATTCAAAAATGAAAATAGCTTCTAAAACATGTCACCATACCATACTCTGACTCAATCCTTAAATAAAACAGCAAAATAAAGACGAGGTTATACCGTAAAAAAGAATACTTCTTTCACACAGAGGGCAGCATCGCTCAATAAAAGACCGTTTCAAGGTCAGAATTTGTTCCTCTTTAAAAGAAAAAAATCCCGCAGCTAATCGAAATATACCAGATCTATTTTGAAGGAAATCGTGTACCAGGCCACACTCCTAACGGATTTAACCGTCTGTCTATCACCGCGCCTTACTATCTCCACCATCTTGAGCGTGGCACCACCACCGGCTCATACAACACGTCACTCAACATCCTCCATCTTGAGTGTGGCGCCTCCACGGGCCTTTCACAACGAGTGGCCCAATGTCCGCCATCTTGAGTGTGGCGCCTCCGCCCGTCTTTCGCAATGCACCTCCCAATTTCCGCCATCTTGAGTGTGGCGCGATCAGCGTTTGTTAGCTTGTAGGCGCCCAATGTTTCATGTGGAACATGGACCTGGATTGAAGGGGAGGAGAAAGAGGGGAAATGGGCGTGGAAATAGCCTGGAGATGAAGATAGTTAATTTTCTCTGTGATTGCTGGTTGTATCAGGGAGTTTTGATATAGGGCTGGCTGAGTTGCAGTTATTATTAATCAGTCTGCACAGATATGTTATTTGCACACTTTGGGAGCAGAATCAGGGGTGGGGACACTGCCATTGCACTACAAAAACTCATTGGTTGAGTTCTGCTCCTATGATGCTGCTTGGCCTGCTGTGTTCATCCAGCTCTGCACCCTGTTGTCTCGGATTTTCCAGCATCTGCAGTTCCTACTACCTCTGGTTGAGACGTATTCTTCTTCTAAAGGGTATAATTGTAAAGGCAGTGACTGGGGTTGTATGGAACATAGAACAGTACAGCACAGTACAGGTCCTTCGGCCCACAATGCTGTGCCAACCTATTATCCTACTCTAAGATCAAACTACCCTGCATACCCTACATTTTACTATCATCCATGTGCCTATCCAAGAGTCGCTTAAATGTTCCTAATGTATCTGACTCCACTGCCAGCAGCGCATTCCACGCACTCACCACTCTCTGAAAAGAACCTACCTCTGACATCTCCCCGATACCTTCCTTCAATCCCCTTAAAATTATGCCCCCTCATAATAGTCATTTCCACCCTGGGAAAAAGTCTCCGGCTATCTCCACTTTATGCATCTCAGAATTACAGGAGTAGGCCATTCAACCCATTGAACCTGCCCTACATTCAGTATAACAAGAGCTGAACAAACACTTCAATTCCTTTTACCCACTCCATAATTCTAAATGCCACTAGTAATCAGAAATCTGTCACACCTTCTACCTTAAACTTACTCAAAAGACTTGTCTTCCACAGCCTTCTGGGCTACCAAATTCCAAAGGTTCACAGCCCTCCAAGTTAACTTATTTTGCCCCATCTAGGCCCTAATTGTCATCTCACTTATTTTTAAATTATGCTCCCTGGTTCTAAGCTCCCCAGCCACTGTATAACTCATTGAAAGTGGCAGAAGAGGTTGAGAAGGTGGTTTATATAGCATATGGTATAGCATATAGCATATGTGCCTTCTCAATAGTGGGATTGAAAAAACAATGGCATTATGTAAAATTGGAAAAAATACTGGTTCTGCCTCAACTGGAGTATTGTGTTCACCTCTGGACACTGCACTTTAGGAAAGGTATGAAGACATTAGAAATTCATTAATGGGATGAGGGCATTGCTGGCTAGGCAGCATTTATTGCCCATCCCTAATTGCCCAGAGGGCAGTATTAGAGTCAACCACATTGCTGTGGGCCTGGAGTCACATGTAGGCCAGACCAGGTAAGGATGGCAGTTTCCTTCCCTAAAGGACATTAGTAAACCAGATGGGTTTTTCCCAACAATGGATTCATAGTCATTATTAGATTCTTAATTCCAGATATTTTATTGAATTCAAATTCTACCATCTGCTGAGGTGGGATTTGAACCTAGGTCCCCAGAACATTACCTGGCTCTCTGGATTAATAGTCCAGCAATAATACCACAAGGCTATTGCCTCCCCAGGAGCACAGCAAAGATTCCACAAGTTCCAGGAGTAAAGAACTTCAGTCACATCGATTGGAAAAGCTGGGACTTTCCTTTAGAGAAGGTTCAAATGAGGTTTAATAAAGGTACTCAAAGACTTGAGCCTTTGGCAGGTTAGTTAGGCACAAATCCCACAGATGGTAGGATTGAGGACAGGAGTGCACAGACTTAAGGTAATTGGCAATGAGTAGTTACAATCTGGAATGTGATGCTGGATGGAAACAGGCTCAATCAAGATATTCAAGAAAGAATTAGATTATTATCTGAAAATATTGCAGCACCGTGGAGAGAAATGAATAGTAAATCCTCAGATGTGATGAACTGAATGGCCTTTTGTGCTGAAACCATTCTACGGTGGTGAAACAATAGGCTGGATGTGGAAGGGTGAGCATCGGGTTTAGGCTGCAATTTATTTTACTTAGCAAGTGTAAATCCCCAGAACCACAGCAATCGCTTCCTCATTTGCAGAGTTTAAGATGATTAGTCCACCTCTTTGTAGAGCGGACACTCCTCATTAATGTGCAGGATTGCTTGTTTCTGCTGTAAGTGCACCCTCAGCATGGAGGTTGGCTGTGTAGGTGTCTGGCTTGTGTTAAACCTATTTAGTAAGGATCACACTGATTCTGGTTGGAGCTGAATGGCCTCCTCTTGTTTTTATGCGAGTTGGAGGATAGCAGCAGGTGAGAGTCCTGGTCAATGCAAACTGTTTCAAATCACCTGATTTATTCTACCATTGTAAACTTTTCCAGTTCGGGAGGAACAGGAGTGGACCATTCCGCCTCCTCCCAAATGCACTTCGATTTTTATTTACTATTCCTGATCCATTCTTTGGACCATCATTTGTAACATAATCTTCAGTTCAGTTTGATATTTTCCACTTGTAGGAGCTTCTTAAAATTCAACTCCTCCAGCCAAGCACTCCTCTTGTCCTTCACTTGCTGTCCATTTCCTCTGCTTACCTGTGTGACCCCTTGTACCATTTGTTATAAGCAAAGTTTTGGAATACCCCTTCCAAAATATCTCCAGCTTTAGATATTTTTAAATTACCAGGCCAGAGATGTAATTAGACATCTCTGGAGCAGCTGGAACTTGAACCTGTGCCTCCTGGCTCAGAGATAGGGTCACTACCATTGCACCATAAGAGCTCTCTCCAGCTCTGTTCCCTTAAAGACACTCATTAGTAATAATATTTTCTAATCAACCTGTTCAGAGATGTTATTACACATCTCTGGTGGAACCTGAACTTCAGTCTCCTGGTTTAGAGGTATGGACACTACCTCCAAGCCACAAGACCCCTCTCCAGTCTGAACTTGCAGCTTAGACGAACAGGCATTTTAAGATTGTTTTGGTATATAATAGCTGATGGTGTAGTCCCTGCTGAGATGCTGTTTCAAAAACAACAATAGGTGTCGAATTATGCATATGGGAGAGAAAACAGCAGTAAAATACCAGTATTTACATGGAAACGAATGTACTTGTTTATACTGGAGCTTTGTTTTAAGGAATACAAGATAAGCCAGAACTGTATGCGTCATGCAGATGTTTTACTGTACTTTTTTACTTAGGGTGATAGAAGGGAAGCAGGCTTCAGTATCTCATACAAATACCAAAATAGAGATAAGGAGAAAGGCTAAAGGAGGGAAATACATCTCAGAGATGTGAAAGCCCAAAATTTTCTGCATAAAAAATGAACATACAAATTATGAGCAGAAGTGGATCATTCAGCCCCTGAAGCCATTTACACTATTCATAGAACATACAACAGTACAGCACAGGAACAGGTCCTTCGGCCCATCATGTCTGCCATTCTGAACTAATCCCATGTGCCTGCACATGATCTGTGTCCCTCTATTCCCTGATCATTCATGTGTCTGTCTAAATGCTGCTTAAACTTTGCTATTGTATCTGCTTCTACCATTTCCTCTGGAAGTGTGCTGGAGGCACATACCACCCTCTGTGTAAAAAACATACCTCTCACTTTAAACCTATGCTCCCCTAGTATTTGACATTTCCACCCTGGGAAAAAAAGACACCAACTAACCACCCTATACTTCTTTCAGGATGCTGCTCAGCCTGTAAAGCTCTAATGAAAACAATCCGAGTCTATTCAACCTCTCACAGCTAATACAGTCCAAACAAGGCAACATCCTGGTAAGCAAAAAAAAATCCCAAAACATGTGGATGCTGGAAATCAGAAACAAAAACAGGAATTGTTGGGAAAACTCAGCAGGTCTGGCAGCATCTGTGGAGAGAAAGCAAAGTTAACGTTTTGGGTCCAGTGACCCCTCTTCAGAACATCCTGGTAGATCTCTCCAAAGCCTTCACATCCTTACTATAGTGTGGCAACCAGAACTGCACACAATACTCTAAATGTAGACTAACTAAAGTCTTATACAGCTGCACCATGGCTTGCCAACATTTTAATGCAATGTGTAATCAAAAGGCAAGCATGCCATATTTGAGACAACAAAGTGCAGGGCTGGATGAACTGCTGTGTTCATCCAGCCCTGCACTTTGTTGTCTCGGATTCTCCAGCATCTGCAGTTCCTACTATCTCTCATGCCATATTTGCCTTCTTTACCATCTTATCCACTTGTGTTGGCAGTCACAGGGCACTGCAGTCTTGCACTCCAAGATTTGTCTGTGTAGCTCACACCTAAGGATCCTGCCATTTAGTGTATACTTTCCTCTTGCATTCAACCTCCCAAAAATGTTTCTGAAGAAGGGTCTAGGCCCCAAAACGTCTAGGCCTGCTCCTCTGATGCTGCTTGGCCTGCTGTGTTCATCCAGCTCTACACCTTGTTATCACCACACACTTTTCTGAATTAAACTCATTTTACCAGTAAGATCACGGCTGATCAGTTTGTTTTCCAAATTCCACATCTGTCTGTCCTTGATAACGCCCAAGAATTTGACTGTAGCCAACGAAATTGTCCCCTTATACATTGAAATTCCCAGAAAATACTTACCCCAAGAGAACAAGGAAAGAAGCTGTAATAAGTTCGCCTTTAAGGGAAGAACAGAAATCCTTGTTGCAGCATCAGATGAAAAATCCTTCAGTAGATTTTATTTCCTTTTTTTCTGGAGTTTCCAGAAAATGAGAAATCTATTTCATTTGAAAAGTTTAAAATGTTACACCCTGTACAGACGCCAACCGAAGTGGGAGAATAGCTGCCTTTTATTTCAGAAATATACTAATTAAAAAAAACCTACAAAGGCACGAAACCAATTCAGTTCTGTAAAGTGGGATACGAAGAAAACAAACAAACATTCCTGATTTACAGCATCCGCAGTTCTTTCGGTTTTTATTTAAACAAACATTGGAGTTTGACTGGGTAGCAGCGCTTTTTGGAAACATCTCGGTTCACTGGTTTGAAAATCCACCTCTCTCCTTCCTCTCTGCTGCGGGGAGGTTGGGTAAACCAAGTCGTGGTTGCTACCGAGCTGCCAACCAGCAAAGGAGCAGCCCTCTGGAAGGTGTGTCTGGGAGGGAGCAGACGACTGAATATATTAAATTAGCGTTGCAACGCAAAACAGCAAGCGACACGAACAGGAAGAAGACTTCACATAGCTGTGAGGAGGTCTTTCTCATTGCTCCTCTGGTCTCCATCTCGAGTTGTGATGCCTCCTGTAAGGAGATGAGTGCATGGCCAGTCGTATATAGCCTTGTTCTTTGTCCTGAAATTCCATGGTATCCCAGCGTCTTTAAAACTAGGAGGAAGCCCTTGGTAGTAAATGGCCACCGCGACTGATACAGAACAGAAAGCCACAACATGGTAAGCTTTGCTTTAGACCGAAAATATTTGGATTCGCAACTATTAAGGTTATTCAATGTCCTGTCTGCTCAGGGATGGCAAGCATTCCATAGCTCTCTGTTACTTTTGCAGTCATCTGCTTGCTGCCAGTCTCAACCTGACTCCCAGTTATTGCTGTGTCTTATAGATTCGCTACAATGCGTTATATTATAAAGGGTTCGAACTGGTTTAATTCTTTGAAATATCCACAACAGCTGTGTATTTATGTTGCACCTTTGACATGGCACACTGTCGTCCCCCCCCCAGAAAAAATGCATGTTCAGAGTAATGCTTGTGCTATGTTGTGAACTTGGTCAAACAGCATGTTTGTAAGATCAGAAGTCAGGCGACACTGATGAAGGGGCAACGCTCTGAAAGCTTGTGATTTCGACTAAACCTGTTGGACCATAACCTCGTGTGGTCTGGCTTCTGACCTTGCCCACCCCAGTCCAACACTGGCACCTCCACATCATATTTATGAGGGGCATCTTAAAAAAGGAAAGAGAGATGGTGAGGTTCAAGGAGGAAGTTTGGGAGCTTAGGACCCAGCTAGATGAAGACAAATTCTTTGTACTCTAAAGGATAACCATTGTTGAAGAAGTGATATGCACTGGGAGAAGAGCCCTTCCCACTTTATGGTCAATGTAGTCACACTACATTTAAGATTATGTCATGACTTCTAATACCATGAGGCGTTCTAATTGTACTTGCATCATACTTGTAACTGATGCTCTTGAGGAATCTTTTTCAGTAAGGCACCACTAGGCTATTTGGATTTGAAGTTCCTCTGCATTGTAAGTTCTTTGAGGCTGTTTCTGTCTGCATTTCACTTCAAAAAAACTTCTTCCCTGCTGTTATCAGACTTCTGAATGGACCTCACATATATTAGAGTTGATCTTTCTCTGCACCTTCTCTGTAGCTGTAACACTATCTTCTGCATGCTTCTTCTTTTACCCTGATGTACTTGTGTAAGGTATGATTTGTCTGGATAGCTCGCAAAGCAATACTTTTCACTGTATCTCAGTATGTGACAATAATAATATCAAACAAGTAATAGCAGATGCCATTGGTTCCCAGCAGCAGGTAATATTTTTTAATTCATTCACGGGATGAAGGTGTTGCTGACTTGGTCAGCATTTATTTCTCATCCTAACTGTCCAGAGGGCACTTAAGAGTCAACCATATTGCTGTGGGTCTAGAGTCACATGTAGGCCAGACCAGGTAAGGATGGTAGTTTCCTTCCCTAAAGGACTTTAGTGATCTAGATAGGTTTTTCCCCACAATTGATTTGTGGGACATCATTAGACTCTTTAATTCCAGATATTTATTGAATTCAAATTCCACCATTTGCCCTGGCAGGATTTAAACCCACATCCCCAGAACATGATCTGGATTAATAGTCCAGTGATAATACCACTAGGCCGTTACCTCCCTGGAATATCAACACAGGTAATATCAACATAATTAGTTGATCATTCTACCTTTGCTTTACCATCCCAAGTTGCTCAGTCCTGCAGTTGGGCAGTGAGTTATTGCTCTCTGTTTGATATCAATTTCTTTGGTCCATGACGCATAAAAACCAGTAATTGATGTTTTGACCATGTTGTGTCTGCATGACTTGTATTAATGCAATAACATTGACGCTGCCATGGGTAGGATACAAAAATGTTTGTAACTATCCTAAGTTTAAATTCATACCTGCATAATACCATATGTTTTTTGATGTGCTATCACTGACACTGTGCTGGTTGCTTGCTAGGAGTTTATTTTGATCCTGGTGTTTTTAAAAATTAGCTATCATAGCCTTCTTATGATTTGAGTGAAACTGAAGTGTAATGCCCTTTATCATAAATCAAGACTTCTTAAATAATAGGAATTGTCATATTAAGGAAAAGCAGTGTACTATAGATGCTGAAAATGTGAAATGTAAACAAAATATTGGAAATATTCAACAGGCCAGACAGGATTCGCCGTAGAGAGAAATAGAGTCATACAGTATGGAAACAGATTCTTTGGTCCAACTTGTCCATGCTGACCAAGTTTCCCAAACTAAACTAGTTCCATTTGCCTGCATTTGGCCCATATGCCTCTAAACCTTTCCTATTCATGTACTTGTCCAAATGTCTTTTTAAATCTTGTAACTGTACCTGCATCTACCACTTCCTCTGGCAGTTCATTCCACACATGAACCACCCTCTGTGTGAAAAAGTTGGTCGTCCGCTCCCTTTTTAAATCTTCCTCCTCTCACCTTAATATTATGCCCTCTACTTTTGAACTCCCCTACCCTGGGAAAAGACCTTTCCTATTCACCTTAACTATGTCCCCCATGATTTAATAAACCTCTGTAAGGTCACCCCTCAACCTCCTATGCTCCAGGGAAAAAAGTCCCAGACTATCCAGCCCGTCCTTCTAGCTCAAACCCTCCAGTTCCAGTAACATCCTTGTAAATCTCTTCTGCACTATTTCAAATTTATAATATCCTTCTTATAGAAGGGTGACCAGAACTATACCAGTACTCCAAAAGTGTTCCTCACCAAAATCCTGTACAATCACAACATGATGTCCCAACTCCTATAGTCAATGATCTGAGCAATAAAGGCAAGCATGCCAAATGCCTTCTTTTCCACTCTGTGTCTACCTATAATGCAACTTTCAATGAATTACGTACCTGAATCCCTAGGTCTCTCTATTCTACAACACTCCCCAGGGCCCTACCATTAACTGTGTAAGTCCTGCCCTTGTTTATCTTGCTCAAATGCAACACCTCACATTTATCTAAATTAAATTCCATCTGCCACTCCTTAGCCCAATTGATTAAGACCCCTTTGTAATCTTAGATAGCATTAAATAGATAACATTTCACATGAATTACACTCCTTCAACTAGTTCGCAAGGTGCTGATTAATATTTTAGAAAGCAAGAAAGAAAGTTGTGCATTTATGTAGAGCCTTTTGTTTGCATTAGTATATCTAAATTGATTTGCTGCCAATAATATACTTTAGAAGCGTAGTTGCTGCTGTAACCTAAGAAAAGCAGAAGTCATTTTGCACTCAACATGCCAAAACAAAAGTAATGAGATAATGACTAGATAATCTGTTTTTTGTAATATTATTCAAGGGATAAATATTGGCCAGGATAACTCCTTGGCTATTTTAAAATAGTGGGTAGGGATTTTATGTATCCATCTAAGAGAGCAGATGGAGGGGCCTCAGTTTAATGTCACATTAAAGAGATGGAATTTGCCATAAGAGCCCTTCCCACTTTATGGTCAATGTAGTTACACTACATTTAAGATTATGTCATGACTTCTAATACCATGAGGTGTTCTAATTGTACTTGCATCATACTTGTAACTGATGCTCTTGAGGAATCTTTTTCAGTAAGGCACCACTAGGCTATTCGGATTTGAAGTTCCTATGCATTGTAAGTTCTTTGAGGCTGTTTCTCTCTGCATTTCACTTCAAAAAAACTTCTTCCCTGCTGTTATCAGACTTTTGAATGGACCTCACATATATTAGAGTTGATCTTTCTCTGCACCTTCTCTGTAGCTGTAACACTATCTTCTGCATGCTTCTTCTTTTACCCTGATGTACTTGTGTAAGGTAAGCACTCCCTCTGCACTGAACAAATGTCATTCTGGGTTAGAAAGTGCTGCAGTATGATTGTCCAAATCGATTAGTTGATGAAGAAGTAACTGAATGCAAAATTGGAAACAAGTCAGCTGCTTATTTGCTTTATTTATTAAAAAAAAGTCATGGGATCTAGGCATTTATGCCTGTCAAGCATTTATTGTCCATCCCTGATTCTCCTTGAGAAAGCAACAAGTGGGGAGTTGCTTTCTGGAGCTGCTGTGGTCTGTGTGGTGAAGATATTCCCACTTAGAAAAATAGTTCTGGGATTTTGACCCAGTAAAGTCAAAAGATTGACAATCACTCCCATTTTCTCTTTCTATTCCTTTAAAAAAAATCAAGTTGAAATCAAACAGACCAGAATTTGTCACAGAATCACTATGGCACACGAAATGACATTTAAATCTACTCAGGGACTCTTGTAAATCTTCCTCAATACTCATTAAAATAATGGGCACTGTTTTCATTACAGTACTCTTGACTGTTAAGGTTAACTGGTCAAATTTTATAGCAGCCCAATTGTGCTAGGACCATTAATAAGTGTTAGAATATTTGATTCAATGGGACTAAAAGAGACAAAGCAAGTTAGTTTTCTTTCTTTTACCTTCTTATGTCCTCACTATTTGTATCTTAAACCTACGTTGGTCAGTTTGGCTCCTGATGTTTCATGATCCATGCCATTCACATTGCAGTGTAGATGCCATATTTGGCAGCCTTTTGAGTGTCACCTGGGATGAATTGATCCGTGAACAAATAGGAGCTTGTACACACAAAATTGTATGAAAGCGGGGTAAGAATTTTCATTCTGTGCCCATTACAGATTTGGAGTCAAAGGTCTGTCAGACAGACTCTGCGTTTTGTCTACTCATTGCCTCTAAGACAATGGATGCTTCCTGTTGTACAGTGGTACCCTGCCGACAACACCAATTCGCATTTACATAATATCTTTAACTTTGTACAGCATCCCAAGACACTTCACGAGAATCATGAAACAAAATTTGACACTAAGATGTCAAGGAGATATGAGTGGTGGAGGCTGGTACAATTACAACATTTAAAAGGCATCTTGATGGGTATATGAATAGGAAGGACCAAATGCTAGCAAATGGGACTAGATTTATATAGGATATCTAGTCAGCATGAACGAGTTGGACTGAAGGGTCTGTTTCCGTGCTATATATCTCTACGACTCTACAAACAGGTGACTAAAGCTTATAAAGATCAAAATGTTAAGTTTAAATGAGTGTGGCAAGGTTTAGTGAAGGAATTCCAGATTTAGGGCCTAGGCAGCTGAATGCATAGCTGCCAAATGTAGAGAGATGAAAATTGGAAATGTTTAAGAGATCAGAATTG